TTTAGTCCTCAAAGTGACCCTCACCCACAGAAGCAAAATAGAAAAATTAGCCAGGCACGGTGGTGCATGCCTGTAGTCCCAGCTACTCAGAGGCTGAGGAGGGAGGATCAGATTGCTTGAGCCCAGGAGTTTGAGGTTGCAGTGAGCTATGATGACACCACTGCACTTAGGCCTGGGTGACAGAGCAAACCCCGTCTCGAAAATAAATAAATAAAAGTTAAATAAAAACTCACAGAAGTCTCTCAAAGCTACATACAGATGATTGCCTTTTTACTCTAAAATTTTGTGGAAGGGCAGAAAGTAAGCGAATCTTTCAGAATGTCATAATAAACAGAACATACATGGGCTCTGAAAACAGACAAACTTGTCACTCACTGAGCTGTTTTTCTTTGAGCAAACTACTTTCCCTCTCTAATCCTTAGCTTCTGTGTGAGGGTCACTTTGAGGACTAAATCCATTCACTCTGTGAATGGCAGGTGCTAGTTACGTGTCTTGCCTTAGAGTTGGTACATAGTTGAAGCATAATGTGTGAGACTTACTTCCACCATGAAGTTAATAATCAAGAAATCTCAGGGTGAGCAGAGACTGCGTATACTAGATGGGCATAAATAATGAAACAAAACAGCCTAATTTTTTTTCCCTATATTAGATGCCCCAGCATAATAAAGACATTCAAGAGGGTAGGGTAGGTGGATATTTAAATGATCCCCCTTATTCTGAGATTTTAAGACACATGCGTGGAAATACACTGTCCAAATGAGGTAGTATTTTTTTTTTCTGAATATGGGCTTGTGGCAGGGGTTGCTATTTTCCCCAAATGTCTACTCTCTCCTCTTTGCTGGGGTAATTGAGGTTATCTAGGCATCATCTAGATAATTCTAGTCAGAATAAAGACTACATTTTCCAGCCTCCCTTATAGCTAGGCATAGTCCTGTAACTGTTTTTTGGCCAGCTGAACATGGCAAAAGTGGTATGCACAACTTCTAGGAAATGTCCTTAATGGGGGTTTTCATACTCTTTTCATTCCCTTTCTTTTCCTGCCTGCTTACTAGAATGTTGATATGATGGCTGGAGCTGCAGCAGCTATCTTATATCATGAAGTAGAAATCACATGTTGAGGACAATGGCATGTAAGATAGAAAGAGCACAGGGTCCTAATGACAATGGATCTTCCATGCCAGCCCTAGATTCCTTTTTTTAATATAAAGAAAAATAAACTTTTATTTTCTAAGATTATTTTGAGGTTTCTGTCACTACCAGAAAAACCTTCTTGGCCAGGCGCGGTGGCTCAAGCCTGTAATCCTAGCACTCTGGGAGGCCGAGGCGGGTGGATTGCTTGAGGTCAAGAGTTCGAAACCAGCCTGAGCAAGAGCAAGACCCCATCTCTACTGTAATAAATAGAAAGAAATTAATTGGCCAACTAATATATATATATAAAATTAGCCTGGCGTGGTGGCGCATGCCTGTAGTCCCAGCTACTCGGGAGGCTGAGGCAGAAGGATTGCTTGAGCCCAGGAGTTTGAGGTTGCTGTGAGCTAGGCTGACGCCACGGCACTCACTCTAGCCTGTGCAACAAAGCGAGACTCTGTCTCAAAAGAAAAACCTTCTTATAACTAATACTATGCTATCTTCTTCAACTAGACTATAAACTCCTTTGGGAAGGGTGTATTTATACCTGGTTCGGGTTAAAAGATTTACAGACTTCACAAAGTACTATAATTTGGGAAAGCAAAATATCATCGGTAGCTGTTGCAATAGTTACAAGTCTTTCATTTGCTAAGTGTCCAATGGATTGTAATCATAAATACTTTTATTCTCTCTCATAGAGACTTCAAACCCACTTTGTCTACTTCTAAATGTAATCTTAGGAGCTCATTATTTTTTCTATCAATTTAAGGAAAACATAAACAAAAACAAACAATCCCTTTGTTTTGGTTTTTAAATGTTCAATTCGCAGGAGCCAAATTCAAGGAGTTCCCACTGACCGAAGATGAAACAATTTGCACATCAAAAGGAACAATAACTGTAATGAACTGAACAACAGTTAAAACATTAAAATCATGAGTTCATAAGATAATTAGAAAAAAAAAATTCCAACCCATTGATCAGTTTTGGAGGATGCTGAAGAACCCAGTTGTTATTCTGAAAACTAGAAGAAAGAAAAAGAATAAAACACATTTCCTATATAACGGTATCTCAGCTCAGTAATCAAATATTTAATGAGATTAAGTCTTTTTTTAAGAGAAGCTAATAAATGAAGGAGTGATAGAATGTCATCATCTTGCAGTCTAATGAAATAATGGATCTAGGCCGTTAAAATCATTAATGTGCAAAGCCAATAGGAAAATGTATAATCGTTATATGAAGCTCACAGCACTGTAACACACTGATTAATCTTAAAAGAGAGATAAGCAGACACTCTATGTCTCCTGAGGTGATGCAATAGGAAGTACACAAAACCACCCACGCAGAAGTCTTGCCAAAAGAAAAAAAAAAAAAATCAAGCACGAATCTAGTCAAGCCTCTGGATCTGAATCCGAGTTTGCAGGAAATACAGGAGATAAAGGATCATGACAAATGACACCGTGGAGATGCAATTGGATAAGTCCAGCATACGCAAAATGCTAAGGACAAATAACCGAGTGTCAGTAACAAATAAGTCAGAGGGGGGACCTATAGATTAAAAGAAATGCAAAGAGACATATCAGCATATGAGGGCTTTGTTTGGACTCAGAGTCAAACAAATCCACTGTATGAAGATGTTATGAGATTGGGAAAATTTGAACACTGACTAGATATTTGATGATATTGAAAAACTATTATTAATTTTTTGTAATCCTACTCTCCTCGGGGAGGCTCAGTTCGGGCAATTGCTAAGTCCAGGATTTCCGAAGCCAGCCTGGACAAAGGAGCGACGCCAACCTACTATAAAATTCGGACAAAATTAAACTTGCCAAGCTAATTGATATAGAAAAATTACGCCGGCATGGTGTCATGCCTGTAGTCCCAGCTACCAGGAGGCTGAGGACAGGAGAATCGCTTGACGCCTCGGAGTTGAGTTCGTGGCTAGGCGCCGCCACACACTCCCCTCTAGCCTGCAACAAAAGTGAGACTCTGTCTCAAAAACAAAAGTCTTTTAAGTAATATAATAACTATTGTCATGTTAAAAGAATCTTTATTGTGTACAGAAACATACTGAATTATGAAAAAAGTGGAATTCCTAATTCCGCTTCATATATCCCAGTGGGGCGGAGAAATACGCGCCAATGAACCCACATTCGTTCTGGCATCCTGATGCAAATTTAAATTTCAAATTAAAAAAAGTACCAGAAAAAAGCACGGCTTCCCATTGAGGGTAAAATCAAACAATGCCTGGGGGTGGCGAAATCTGTATCGAATGAATGCTTTTCTTTAATGTTTTGCATGAGCGGCCAGGATTCAAGCCGCGTGGTTGGCTTTCCACCGCGATTTCTCCCGCAACAAGCTTGGGCGTTTGACCACTATCTGTTCAGGCTCAGGATGAGGAAGAGCGGAAGAAGGGGCACAGGCACAGCTATTCCGATGAAGCTCAGCAGAGTCTGAGGTGTGCCCTCCCCTGATGGGGGCATACACAAAATCAACATGCCACTGCCACCTGCCAATGGAGCCCAACCCATCAGTCCCCCGGCTCTGCTGTCCACCCTCTTTGGTAGCCCTTTGCCCCACCCTAGTTGTCCTCTTGGTGGATTCCTAGAAAATGACCCACACCACTTATTCCCTCCCGTGGCTTTCTGGAAATTTCCAGGTGTGCATCCCTGCCTGTACTTCGGTGATGTACCACTTGCCCCCAGCACAGGCCTCACTTTCGCTCCTGGGGGACACCAGAAAGCCAGTCTCTTCACAACACCATCCCTGTTAACGTCAGGTGATTCTGACAGCAGTCCCTTCTGCGGCTCCCAACCCTCCTCTGAGACTCATGCCAAGCTCACTGAGTGGCCCTGAAAGTTCTCCCATACTCGGGCCCTCTGCACCCCATGGTTAGGGTTGAGAGAAATGCACAGCACACCAAGAGTCTCTCTCTTGATCTTTCAACCCTTGTTTTCCGAAGGCTGGAGGCTGATGAACACTAGTATTAGCAGAACCTGTTTTTTCTTCTATTATTATTCACATTGACTGATCGTAGCAACCCCACATGTAAGCATGGGCGGGTCTTTGTTCTTTAATCATAAAGTATCTATATAAAGGACTTTGGCTACAATTGGAAACCCGCCGGTGGAAAGCCTCATTTAAAATTCCTAGAACATCGTTTTCAGATTGTGAAATGTCAAGAAACGGAAAAAGAAAGGAAAAGAGAAAAAAAGAAGAAAGAAGAAGAAGAAAAAGAAAAGAAAGAAGAAAGAACAAGAAAGAAAGAATAAAAGGAAGACAAATAAAATTTTAAAAAATAGAAATAAATACATAAAATCCTATAACAAAGAAAAAACCAATTGAACCTGGCACCCCTGGGTCCCAGTACTTAATAACGACATCAGAATTTTGGTTTTCCCTAGTTCTGGGCTGGCACTGTGTTTAAGCAGCCTTTCCTCTGCAGCAGCAAA